ACATTCAGGATATCATCAGCAGTGAAAGTGACGGCGGGCTTAGCCGGCGCCGGGGCGGTGCGAGTAGGGGACTTGTTGTCGCCGCCCTTCTTCTTGCCTTTCTTCTTAGGCTCCTCGTGAGTAGATCCGTTAGTGACAGGAACAACAACCTGCTCCTTGACCTGCGCCTTGGTGAAGGCGAATTCACGGGCACCGAGCTGGAGACCCAACTTGACGGAGATGTCACGCAGAAGCTGCAAGTGTCTCAGAGAGTTGGTCCAGTCCTTCTCGAGGGAGAAGCGGAAGCGAATGGTGACCTGCTTCTCAAGCTCGGCCCGGAGGGACTCGGGAGTGACATTCTCAAAAGTGAAGTCGCCCTCGGGGAAGATCGCACGCAGAGATTCGTCAATCTCCGCCTTAGGAGTAGCGTTGACATCTGAGCCGAGGAGACAGTTGAGCAAGTGAGAAAGGCAAGAGGCGACGAAGGGGGCGGGAACATTGTTCAGGTAACGGTTGGCAACGTGCTTGAAGGCACGAGTAACCATTTCCTGGACCAAAAGGATGGACAGGGCCTGTAGGCGAGGTCCCTTCTCGGCGGACTGCTGGGCCAGCTTTCCGAGGTAACGGAGGTTGATACCACGCTTGTGCAACAGCTGGGTCAGCGATTGACCGTCCATGGGGAAGCCAACGTCGCCGTCGTGCAGGTCCTTGAGCAGGTCGGGGATGACCTTGGATCGCAGGTGATCACAGGCATCCCGGACTTCCTGCTCATCCTTTGCCCATTGCTCCTTCTCCTCCTCGGTCTGCGGCACCTGGCCGCTGAAAACGTCGGGGTTGAGAGCAAGGTTGAATCCAGAGATGTCAACACGCTCCTGGTCCGCATTCTCCTCCTCGGTCTTGCCCTCCTTAGCAGCCTCGGCGCTAGCAGCCTTACGGCTCTCCACCTCGGCCTTCACGTACTGGCTCATCTTGTGGCGCCAGTAGGACTCGACCAACTCAAGTCTGAGAACGGACATACGGTGGGGGTAAACATCGCTGCCATCCTCTTCCTGCCACTCGGCATCCAGAGGGGCAATGCGGTAGAGATCCAGGACGTACTTCCGGCCGTCAGTACCCAAAAGTCCCTTAGTCTCAACGCTACCTTCCAGGTCGTGGCGCTGGTTCTCCTTGTCCCAGACAGGGTGCTGCTTGACACGGAGCGCCTTCGAGAGCTTCTCGAAGACCGGAACAAAGTCGGCGTGGGTGGCCACAACCTCCTTGCCCTCAACACCACCGTAGTCAATCTGGTGCTCACCGGGCTCGCGCTGCTTGAAGATACCAGGAACAATGCTCTGGCCAACAATGCGCTTACCCAGGTAGTCGACCACCACGGTTCCGGGGGTGAACAAACCGTCGATATCGAGCTGGTTAACAGCCTTGATACCAAGAACGTCCTTACCTACGGCCACGCGTGCGGCTTCATCGCCACCCTCGGAGGTGAAAGTCCCAACGCCATCGGCACCGAAGGAGTAGAATATGTTGTTGTAGACAAAGATCTGGGCGTCCCGCGCCTCAGTGGGGTTCAGAGGAGCAACCTCTCCCCGGGCAACCAGGACTGCACCGCGAGCGGCGGCCTCGTTGTAATCGGCGAACAGCTTGGAGGTCAGCCGCTCCCGGAATACACGATCCTGAACGGTCTCGCGGGGCAGCTCGCGGGTAGTCTGGAACTCCTCGTTCCAGTCACGCAGAGTCTCGGCGTTATCAACCCCAGAGATCAGGTAGTTCTCCTGCGAACGGGTGATATCGGGCTGGTGGGCATTCAAGCTTGAAGTGCTGGGGGCGATGAGCCATGGGCTGTTGGGAATGGCGTTCTGGAAGGGGAAAGTGGTCAAAAGATCCTTCTCGTTGTTGTACTCCTGCAAAGCCTCGAAGGAGGCGTTGAACGAAGGCGAGAGTTGAGAGATGAGAGTGAGCAAGGAGTGGGCGCTGCCCTTCTTGGGGTGTGTTGGCTTCGGGAACGGGTCGAATCTGACGCTGGAGCACTTGTTCACAAAGAACCCAGACACATGGGCAGTGATCTGGAATTGTTCACCTTCGTTAGTAGCAACCACAAGGTAAAGCAAGTGGCCCTTCTGGCGGAGGTTATACGGAACAGGGTTCCATGCAGACAACGAGATGGACTTCACGGTCTTGGGCAGAGGAGCCTGGGCAGTGGGAAGGATAGTCTGCAGTGGTGAAACTCCAGTCAGGTCGTATTTGGAGAGCGAGTGTTCCTTCTCCGACTCGCTGGCCTTGATAGCGTCTGCCGTAATCGCATCGTGCAGGGACAGGCCAGCGGAGATACCATGGAGGTTGTCAACACGGTCACCAGAAGCACCAATTAGCTCCCTGATCCGCACAACATGCATGCGAGCCTCCTTTTCGGTGTAGGGATCCTCGACCAGGACGATCTCGGAGTCGGCCTGGAGGTCCGGGACCTCAGACAGCTCGACGAAGTCATTGATGCGATTGCCGTTGAACTCGAGATGGAAGCAAGTGTACTGGAAAGTTCCCGGTAGCTCGACAATAGATTGGCGGACATCCTGGACCTGTTCTTGACTGGAGACCTAGAGAAACAAACGAGTCAGATAAATTCTTTCCCCTTCGTAGCCTTGCGAGATATCGGACTCACCATCACTTGAATCTTATGTGGCGCATGAGGGAGCTTCACGGAGATCTGGAAAAGACCTAGAGTCAAATTAGAACGACGCTATACAGTTCGCGTCTGGTTACCCAACATACCACCCGCATTGTCCTCCTCTGTGCCCTCGGGAGCGGTGCCATTGACAATCTCTTGGGAAGCTTGGGGAGCCTCTGTTCGTCCGTTAGCTCGTGTGCCCTGCATCTTGTTCTACCCGGAACCCATGTTGTATTCCAATGGACCTTGCCCGGCATGGAGGTTCCAGGGTCAACACTCACCTTTCGAGTGCTCCAACTCCCCGTTGGTCTGTGCCATTATGTCGAGCCGGTTATATAAAGAGAGCTTCGACAAAGTAATAACAGTAAACCGTTATCTCACAATCGACACGCGAGTGAGAGACAAAGTTCGGGAAAATGGAACGGGAAAAAAAAAAAGGGTTTGAGGACCTGCGGGGATTCGGCAGATAGAAATTTTAGTATAGTATACAAATATAAGGGCAATTGAGCAAGAAACAAAAACCCCGTACCCCAGAAAGTTGAAAAAAAAGGCAACGATGAATGGATAGGACGGTGAAACTGGGAAACCAAACCGGAGAGAAAATTTCTCGGCTGCGGCATACCCTCGGAAGTGCTCGGGCGGTGGGTTCGGGGAAGGGCGCGGAGAGGGACATTTTCTCCACAATGTCTACAATTTCACTGTAATACTTTGAGAAAGACTATAATTAGTTCGGAGTGGTTGTGTATAGCTTGGAAATACTATATTCTTCCTTAAGATAAGTCCGTATAATTTTCATTGAGTGGGTGTTGATATCAACCTTGGAATCTCATAGATCTACAAGCTTGGAAGGTATGGTGCCTGGCTGCCTCAGGTATCAATGTTTTTCAAATGTGCGTGCAGTAGCTGTCGATTGTGTACACCGTGGCATTTTATTTGCCTGGTGATAAACTACTTCCACGGCAAACTTTGTCTTTAATTGGTCTACATTGATGGATAGAGGAAGATAAAAATGTATATCGTAAGCGGTTAAGTTTCCCAGGGCCTACATAGAAGCTAAGGGGGCTAGCACTATTTATACTATGTACTTGACTGAAAAGGTCCATCTGCGAGCCAAACATGTAGACAGAACAGCATCAAATGTATGGATGTTAGCACCTGCTTTATGTCCTCGAGGAACTTTCTTTCCAAGTGGCGTATAATTGGGACTCTGGTAGTTCGGATATATATGTAACAAAAATATAGATCAAGGATGGCAAGTTGCCGGGAAAAAGAAGCTAAAATCTAAAGCATACTGAGCTCTTTAGCTGTTCCATCGTATCTATTCTCAAGGAACCCCCTTTATGGATTTATGAATTTTTAAATATTTGAAAACCTTATAATTCCTATATGCTTCATCTCCATTAGCTTTATTGGAGCTAGGGACTGATAGCCTTTCACCATAGCAATGCCAAGTTTGAATACATACATTATACCCTGTACATCAAAGTGACATTCAGATTACCATATCTAATTGAGGGTGCAGCGACCACGGGAGACATGGTTCCTGGGTACTTTTTCCTAGCAGGAGACTACCTACATATATAGGTACATAGTATGTAGTTATTCACCCCTACTAGTAGATTGAAATAGGAATTGAATGAGCCTATGTTTTGCATATCTGTATATGATTTAGAGTCTACTCTGTACTTGGTTGTGCTATAAAACATTAATGTTAAAACGCAAAGGCTAATAGTGCGGTAAAGATGGCTTGTTTGTTTATCTCTCCTCGAGCCAACTAGTTTTTCCAAGGATCCACCGTCTTCCACACAGACCTCCAGAAAGACCAATTAAAAAACCCACATACGTATTTCATGAAACATTGGGGAATTGAACCTATAACATTGTACTACTGGTACCCCGTCAATACTATGACGATCGAAGATGGATGTTCCTGATTCGATCGCCAAGCCTTCTGCATCCCTGGTTCGTTGAGGCTGAGGCCAACACCACAACTTAGCCACAATCTTCTTTTTTTCCTGGGCTCCCTTGTTTCTTCTAGTCTTTCATTAACTCCTTTTGTTTCTTTGTTCCTTTATTTTCCTTCTGATATCCAGTCTTTTTAATCTGCCCAGTTTTCCCGGAGGCACTCCTTCACCAGTGACGCGTCATTCCCTGGAGGTGTGGCTTTGCGTGAACCATCTACAAGTCTAGAATCCTAGCAGTACACTCCTTAAACTTTTTTTGTTTTATATTGATACAGGCCATACACAGACCATCGGGGGTTCTGGTTATCTCTGACGAAGATATACATTCTCACTCTTCGTTGCCCGCCTTTTGCTGAAGGACTTGGCACCGCGGCGTACAAACGCCAAGAAGCCCAATCACGATGCTATGGAGCCGACTCGCACAGCCTGCCAGGTCCTATGTCCGACAGGGTCTGCCAAGGCCTCTCAGGATTAATAGCCGCGTTGTGATGCACACACCCAAGCGGTTCAACTCAAACCCCCAGAACACTGGTCAAATGACCCCTGACCCCACCGATCAGAATGATTCAGATGAGAGCAAGCACGGAGGCCGTAACGGCGATTCAGAACCCAACTTGAGATCCACGATTCTCAAGATGCTTGAAACTGCGGCAACCACGGCGGCATCAATTGCTATTCTAGGGTAAGGTTTACCTATATTATTCAAGAGATGTGTGCTAATTTGCTCCCAAGCGCGGCAGGATACTCGTATCACCAGTATTACAAGTACTTGATCTTGGACAAGATGGACAACGCGTTCAACCCAGGTGATCCTGCCCTCGAGGTCGCGGGTGTTGTTTCTGGAAAGCACAAGTACCGCCATGAGGAACATTGGGTCGTTCGCAACGAGCAACCCAAAATTGACGATATTGTAGCTGGGAAACAAAGTGGCCACTACTATCTAATAATCGGCGAAAAGGGCACGGGGAAGACATCGATGCTTTTGGAGGCCATGCGCAAGATTAATGGCGAAAGCTGTGCCTTGTTCGAAGCGCATGCTGACCTCGAAATCTTCCGAATCCGACTGGGCAAAGCTCTGGACTTCGAGTTCCACGAAGAGTAAGCTTATACAGTCACCAACATGAAAGTATAACGCTAATAGGAATACCCAGCTATGTCGGGAGCCTTTTCAGCATTCGTGGACCAAGAGACACCACAGCTCTCTTGGACATTGAGCGCGCCTTCAACAAGCTAGAGAAAGTGGCTCTCAACAGAAGGAAGATTGGATCGACTCCGCTTATACTGATTATCAACAGTACCCATTTAGTTCGAGATGACCACGACGGACAGGATTTACTGGAGATGATCCAGCAGCGTGCCGAGCAATGGGCTGCTAGTGGTCTCGTCACAACAAGTAAGACCCTGACAAATGTCCTTCTTGTTATAGGCTAACTGTTGCTTTCAAGTTCTTAACAGCGATGATTATTGGGTATACGAGCGCTTGAAGCGTTATGCAACCCGCATGGAAGTCATTACCGTGACAGATCTGCCCAAGGACAAGGCGATGAGTGCTTTGAAGAGATATCGCCAGCGATTCCACAACGAGACACTTCCATCTGCGGTCCTCGAGCAAGTCTATAACAAAGTTGGCGGTCGACTATCCTTCTTGAATCGCGTGGCCAAGTCTCAGGATGTCACCAAGACCTGTGATGAGATCTGTCAAGCCGAGAAGACATGGTTCCTAAACAAGTGCTGGATCCTCGGAATGGAGATGGATGATGATGTGATGGACCAGCAGAAGTACGCGGTAAGTACACACTATAGGATATTCTGCTTTTTGTTCCTTCGATGCAACTGAAACTAATTCAAACCACAACACAGTCTGCCGCTATGGTTCTGGCGAAAGCGCTGGTAGACAAAGAGAAGGAGATGGAGTCAAACTACCACCATGAACAAGGCCATATCCTGCCGGAAATTCCGCTTCATGAAGCGCGCGAGATTATGACCCGTGCCGACTTTATTCAATCTTATGATCATGACAATATCTTCACCATTGATTCGCGAGCCATGGTGCGTGCTGATTCAGTACCCATGCAGCGTGCCTTCCAGGAAATCTGCGCTATAGAGAACTTCGACAACCACTTGGAGGGCACCTTGGAGCGCATTGGAGACATTGAGAGTCTTGGCCGTACTCGCGAATTGACAATCAAAGATCTCTGGAATAATGGCAAGTATCGCGTCGTTGTACGGGACAACCACGGACGAGAGAGTGGGACGGTTGAGTTGGCTGTGGCAGAACGCGAAGGTGAAGATCAAGATTAGGTACTTTGTATATGTCAATCTAATTTACGGACGAGGAGTCCACTGTAATTACAAATATATACATATGTCCGCGGGTACTACTCCGTATGTGTGCAGACGTCAACTCGCCGAGTCCTTAAATTTGGAGCTCGGAAAAAGTAATAGTGACATCATCGTATGCTCACCGCTAACCAAACATTCCACCTGCCTTCGCTTTTTCTCTTCCAAGCTTCAACTGAGTGAAAGCAATTGATAGTGACTTTTGCTCTAAACTCTGCATTACACTCATCTTGCTCTTCAATTTTGGAAGCCTCAAAATGCCGACTAAGACTCCCAAGAAGCGAACTGTGTCGTGGACCGACAATACGCGACCCGCGCGCGAGTTCGCGATGGCAGCCACTGCACAGACCTCTCGATTGGCGTGCATCCCATCTCCAGCCCGCTTCATCCTTGTGGTCCTAAGCAGTCTCATTGCGAGCTCCGTTCTGTTCACACTCACGTCCACCTTGACGGTGGGCGATCTAGGGCCTATCAGCAAGCACCTTGAAGAATGGTGGGAAGTGGGGGGCTTGATAGCCTGGAGGGCTGTGGAGGTCGGATTAGCCTGGGTTCTAGGATTTGATGGTAAGTGTCAATTAGCATATACATGGCCCCTTGCGTCCGGACACGAGGTTTCGACATCTAGTATAGAGACTAATCTTGTGGTTGCGATCAGGCCGTGATGTGGCATCGTACTTATTCCTGACCCACCTGCCCACATACTCTCTCTTGTCGTTCTTCTACGGCATCCGCCCGACTTCTGCTCTGATAGCATATGGGGTCACGATTGTCTCAACGGCGCTTCCCTTCGCCCTCCTGCGCCGGCCCTCGTCCGTTCACAACCTTTCGCATGCACCTGCTGATGCAGTTGCCAATCGAAACATTCTACAGGACAAGACTATCACCATCTTCACGACGCTCTTGGCAACCTCGGTTTTTAGCGTTGTGCTGTATGCCAGCTATGCGACTTGGCTTCCTACACAGCTGGTTATTCACTTCGAGGGTCTCCCGGATATCAGCGCGGCGCATGCTGGTCCGGCCGGCTTGCCTGTACTCTTCCTGACGATGATCCCTGCTGGCTGGGCCGCGCGTGACTTTTTATTTGTCAGCTCCACTGGCTATCCAACCGCTCCTGGTGGGTCAGCAAGCTGCTGCGAGGGTGAATATTTGGCTGCAGCTATTTGTCGCAACACTTGGGGCAAGTTGTCCACCAAGACGAGAGTTTTAGTTTCTCGGTCCATTATTCTTGCGCTTGGAGTCCTACTCAACACGATTGTTCAAGTGGCCGGCACAATCAGCGATGTCTCTATTGAAGGTGCCGCCACCTGGGGAGCAGTCTGGGCATTTGCAACGCTGACCGCAGGAGCAACCTTCGGCTGGATCGAAGCCGTTGATGGTGTATGATATTATATTCGATAACAACGGCATGAGGACTGTGTGCTCCCAGGTTGATTTTCGTTTCAGCTGCGCCGGGAGAGAGGTAGATGGAGTGATACCCTCATACTATTTCTTAAGCCCTCTTGATTTTAATGTCTCCGCCGGTTTTCTTGCAGTCCGGTATATACATATGTACCTTCTGCTAATCGGCCGTGGGGTTATTAGTATCAATCACTTCGTCATCTAAAATTTCCATTTTTTATCCTTTGTTTTCGATTATTACTTTTTTCTTACTTGAAGTGCCATCCATTATCCTTCTGTTCCTGTTTTAATAATGTATCTTTAAATTTCTTTAAGATTGAGATTAATCATAAGTCTAGGGGATTGATATTTGTACCCCCCGGCTTGGGATAGACGTACCCCCCTTTGGATGAGGTCGCAGGTTCGTACTGAGAGCTCAGTGGGACCCGGTGGATCGTGCTCAATGGGATTCCCTTGTTTCTAGTAAAATACCACTGTTTGGTTTTGAAATCCACTGCTCCCTGCGCGGCCTTCCCGAGGATGATGTCGTAGTACGATGTGAGTACCTAGAGACCAAGTCCGAAGTACTCTTCGAACAACGAGTTTTTGCACGTAAGTTTCCCTACCCTGGCCAAGCTCCTTGGTCACGTTGTATTGTTCGTTCACGATAAACCCCTGGTCGAAAACCTTGAAGACTTTGCGACCTTGCAGATCAGCTATGGCGATGGAAGTGAGATGGAAATTGATGAAGGAAGAAAGAGAGATGTAAAGAAGAAACGAGAGGAGAGGGTGAGGATGAAGAGAGAAAATGGAGCTGAGAAGTGTGATGGGTAGAGAGCCCCGCAGTCCCCGCAGGTGATCCGACGCACTAACAAAGAAGACTCGAGAGTATATGTGAATGTGTGAGACACTACATGCCTCTTCACTTCTTGAAATAGGTTACCCTTTGTCGATTCATTTCAACTCTTTCTGTCAAAGAAACGTGAAACTTGACAGCGTCAACGTCCAAAGAGCGGAAGTGGCTGAAACTACCCTTGTGGAGGCGTGACCGTTAATCCCTATTTCTTATTTTTATTTACATTTCTGGTTTCTGGTATAAAATCATTGCTGTCTTTTTTGCATACTTTTCTAGGGTTTTGTGTGGCTTTTGAAAAGGCGGGGGGGGATTATTACCATGTCTTCCTAAATCTATAGTTTTTCTACTATGAGGCACCTGCAGTATATAATGAATTACACTACATATCGAACGGCTACACATCTAAGAATAGCATCCAATCTTCGTTCTGATCCAGCCCTAATTTATTTAAGACTTTAGGGGTTCTGGCCTCGGAAGGTTTAGAGCTTATGCCAATTCATGCCATTTTTCATAAAATCTGATTCTACATCCACATCGTCAATGTTTTTGTTTTCCCTTACAGCATGTTCTCCAGCCGGCGCTCCTTGCGCAAAGCCTTGAGCTTGGCACGAGCCTCCTCGAGGGGCACCATGGCACCCATCTTCTGGGTTGCCGGGTCATCACGGTTGCGGACGTTGATCTACAAGATTAGTATATATAGAGCTCTCGGAATAAAGAAGAACTTACGGTGCGGGATTCCTTCTCAGAAGCGCCAACAACGAAGATGAAGTTGTACTGAGCAAGCTGACCAGTACGGATCTTCTTCTGCATGGTGTTACCGCTGATGTCAATATCGACATTCAGCTTGTCACCGCGCAGGATCTCCTGCAGTTCCTCGACGTAGTCGTTCACGGCGGGCATAACGGGAACGATCAGGATCTGGCGAGGGCTGATCCAGAAGGGCCACTTGCCGCCGAAGTGCTCAATCAGGATACCTAGGAAACGTTCGAAACTGCCGATGATGGCCCGGTGAATAACAACGGGCCGGGCACGACCAGGACCGGGCTCGTTCTTGTTCTCAGCCTGAGTCTCGCCCTCCTTGGGAGTTTCTGCGGTGGCTTGGCCACCCTCGTTGCTCATATACTCCAGCTTGAAGTTGAGAGGGGCCTGGTAATCGAGTTGGATAGTGGCGCACTGGAATTCACGCTTAAGGGCGTCGGAAATTGTGATATCAATCTTGGGTCCGTAAAAGGCACCGTCACCCTCATCAATGGTCCAATCATTACCCTTAAACTTAGTCAAGGCCTTCTTAAGCTGGTCCTCAGCGTGGTCCCACGTCTCCAACGTGCCCATATACTTCTCGGGGCGGGTAGACAGCTTCAATTTGAATGAAAAGCCGAATAATCCATAGATAGACTCGAGAAAGGAGAATAGGCCTTCCACCTCGGCCATAATCTGGTTCGGAGCGCAGATCTGCGAAGAGAAATTGTTAGTCAATCCCACTTATATCATCTGATTGTCGTCCTGGAAAAGGTCGACCCACGATATGACCTAGGAAGTTGTCGATGGTTAGTCATGTTATCAAAGGGTCTAAAAATGGGCCACTAACTGTCATCTTGCTGGAATTTCCTGACCCTCGTGAGACCCGAAAGCGAACCCGACGACTCGTTGCGATGTAACTTTTTTTGGCCTAGTCAGTAGGTGATTCAAAGACTTGTCAATATAGGATGAAACATACGCTGCATTTCGTCAGTTATGTGAAGAATAAACGGGACAAAGAGCAAACTTACACGCCAAAGTCTGCAATACGCATAGGCAGCTCGCGGTAACTACGTTCACGGTGGCCGAAGAGAACAAAGTGAGCCCTGTCGAGGTATCATTAGCTTAGATCGTGGATGAAAAGTGAGAGGGTAAAAAAGGGCTACTCGCGGGCAGTTCATCGGCTTCAAACTATAGGATTTCGCCCCGTCGGCTTTGGCCCCTTCGACTTTGTCACCGTCGTGAGCGAGAGAGAACATGTCATCCTTGTAGTGAGCCCAGTGACCAGAGGTCTTCCAGAGGCTAACATCAAACATGTTAGGGGTCTGGACCTCCTGGTAGCCGCGCTTGCGGTACTCAGTACGAAGAAGGGACTGGATTTGATTGAAAATCTTGGTTCCGTTGGGAAGGAGGAAAGGACAGCCGGGAGACACATCATCGAAGAAGAAGAGCTCTTGCTCCTTTCCAATTCGTAAGTGATTACGTCGCTCGGCCTCTTCCAAGAACTTCAGGTGCTCAGCCATTAACTTCTTGTCGGGGAAAGCAACACCGCGGATACGCTGTAGGGAATCATTAGTCTGGTCCCCAAGGAAGTAGGCAGACGAGTTCTAGAGGATGATTAGTAAAAAGCTATCAAGTTACTTCACCGGGCCACGCTTACCTGCATGATCTTGAAGGTCTTGATCTTGCCAGTGTTCTGGATGTGAGGGCCTCGGCAGAGATCGACAAGGGTACCGCAACGATAGACCGTGCTGCTCTCGCCGGTAACGAGCTTGTCAATGTAGTGCAGCTTGTATTTACTGTAGGCGAACATCTTCTTGAGGTTCTCCTTAGAAACCTCCAAGCGGTCGAAGCTCTGCTTCTCCTTAAAGATGCGGGAAGCCTTAGTGTCAAGCGACTTCCAATCGCTCTCGCGAACAACTCGTCTATATCCCCGTAAGCATTAGCGCAATTGTGACGAACCGGAAGAAACGTACCCATCGGGCATAGCCATATCGTAGAAGAAACCTTGGGGAGTGGGGGGGCCGTGGGAAAGAAGACAACCGTATTCACATTCTGTGGCCTCGCCGAGCACATGGGCGCTCGAATGCCAGAATACCTCACGAGCCTCGGGGTTGCTGAAAGGAACAAGCAGAACCTTACAGTCCTTTTCTAGAGGGCGGTTCAAGTCCCACAACTCTCCATCGACCTTGGCAATGACAATATCGGCGGCGATATCCTTAGGGACATCGCGTAAGAAAGAACCAGGAGTGGTCTCGAAGGCTTTGGCCGGGACCGAGGAGGGGTTACCGTCACCAATGTCGAGGGAAACGGCGATTTCGGAGTGGGGACGGTTCTTGGTCTCTTCGAGGTGTTGTTGCCAGAGTTCCTCGAAGAGCTTGTTTCGCTCGATCATGACCTCCGGGAGAACATCAGGGCTCGGGGCCTGCTTCTTCGCATCTTTTAGCGGGGCAGCGGCTTCAGAGGATTTAGCCTCGGCGGCAGGCCGCACGGGAATATCCTTAGGGGCTTCGGAGGCCATTTTGAAAACCCTTTGATCAGGTCACAGGTTAATTGAACCGTGAACTAAAAAATAAAGGTGATCGTTATATGCTCCGCATGGAGGGGAAAATGACTCTTCGTGAGGGCGGTGAGTCAAAAGTCACGTGGGGCCCTTAGCGACTTACCGCTTCGAGTTTCCACTAAGCGAAAACTCCACCAGCTATGTGCCATTTTGTCGCGCATTGTTCCGATCTCAACGGTGACGTCCTATGATGATCGCGGATGTTAACATTTTGCGCTCATCAGACAAGAGAAGTTGGAAAATATAAGTTTAGCAACAAGTCACTGCGATTGTAATAGGCGCATTTCCGTCCAGGGATTAGTTATAATGTTCTTCTGTACGTTAACGAGTTGTTCGACAACTTTAATGCTTCCATGCAGAACCGCAATCGAGAAGGCATTTTCTCCCAATATGTTACGCTATATGACTCGCACTAAATGATGGCTTGAGAGCAAATCAACAGCGTCTGCGTACCGCAACTTTATAGCCAGCATGGGCGGTGTGAGGCCAGGGAAACTTTGGTTGATGTCTGCCTTTTCGCAACCCAGAGAGTACTAGACGAGGCCCAAGCTTCTATGTTCGATTGCCTAATGAACTGGCGGGGAACCTTGAAAGTCTATGCAATTAAAGAGGCCCTTTCTGACGATGACGGTGGATTCTCGATATGTAAGACGTAGACTTCGAACGTCCTCGTCGATGGACTTGCCAATCCAGAGAAGGATTTCCAGTGTAAGTCCAAAAAGCGGCATCTTCGCAGTGGTTCATGGACTAGAGTTGGCACGACTGGTCTAGACGGATGGTAGTTAAAAAGAGGCTTCAAAGTGATGAGATTGAAAATTCGTGACATTTTGGAGAGGGGATCTCTTTCTAAAATACTTAGCTACGCTAATGGGATTTCTTGTTGCCGGCATCGAGCCACCTGACTCCTAGGAACCTTAGTTCTTGTGCTAGGACCGAGGTTTGGGTACAGAATCATGGACTGCTAAAAGGGTGAGGGTCTCAAGTATACTATGCTTCATGCGTTGTCCCTGACAAAAGGCTTAGTTACCTGAGAATACCCGTACCGTTCCTAGGACCTTCGTAGCATGCTCCTACAGAGTGGAGAGGCAAGATGAGATTGAATGGGCCGATCAGCCTGAGCCTTGGGGTGAGCGATCAGGTTGCTCAGTGAGCTCTCAGGGTCGCTCATGAGCCGCTCAGGGCGGCGGGGTGACTAACTCACCCTGTGCTCCAGGGCTCTGGGGGCCGATCACTTCCCGAGGCGGTAGTTTTACCGTCACCTAGGTGACTAGAAAAGACCACTAAAAAGACATAAAAGCACTATCGGAGAAGACTACCTGAGAAGACCACTAGACTACGGCCGTATAGGCGGCCATATTTTCTTGTCTACAATGTCTCAATTTCTACAATATGAACTTCTTATAGTGTCATTTTCTACACTATTAATTTCTATCAATTTCAACAGTCAACAAAGTACTTGTGAAATGTTCTGCTGGCAAAATAGAATATGGCGCACTGGCGGCTATACACTGTCGTACGTTAATCGCTGTATAACATCCAACACCCCGATTAAGTATCTAGTATTTGCTGGGGCAATAAGTAAAACGCGACAGGCATAGAGAAGCAAGACCAATCCTAAAATATGAAATACGTAAACCAACTAAAAGCACAATGACTGAAACGACTGAAACGATCACCAGTGAGTAGGCCGAGCCTGGTACCTGTCCTGCCGATCAACCGAAATGCCGTCCATTTTATACTCAGACTTCCCACTAGGCAACATCCATCCGGGATGTAGTACGTTGAAAACAGCCACCGAGACAACTACAAACAGAGTCAGCGATTTGGTCTCCTGGGGTAATTCGACGAAATACTTACTCGTTACAGCGCCATCAAGCACAGGTGATTATGGATGGATCAAAAGCTTCATTTTATACATAGACTATTTACAATACAGTGTATAGAGCGGTGAGAGAGCGGTGCTAATTCAGGTTTTCAGGCATCAAGATCCCTTAGTTAGTTACTAAATTGGGGTTTGAACCCTGATAGCTATACCGCTTCGTAGACGTACATTATGCAAGAGGCCATCTCTTTTTCCCCTTCGTGCCTAAGAACCTTTTGGCAGAGGACGACCCCATGACAGACGTTGGGATTGCTTTAGTGTAGCGGCCCATCACCACCCACATGTTGCTTACACTTCGCTCTTGTTCGCTACTTGTTCGCTCTTGTCCGCTCGCGTCACCTTCTAGGTGGTGACTCTGCTTATATGGAGGTACCTCAAAGTACTGTCAAGCCTAATGAAAATATCAATACGAGATTGAGCCTTGTTGGTTTTGTGTAAAAGAATACTAGTTGTCAGGCTAGTTCCTATTGATCAGGCGAGTTGAACGATGGGAGAGAAAACGTATGGTGTTTCTTCTGCAGAGAGTAACTACGCCCTTAGATTGAGCCTCAGCGGGGGTCTTCTTTAATGCTCCTGCTTATAGTTAGATTGGGTCCAACTGTGATTGTTGTACCTTTGATATCTGACCTTTTTGGGGGAGATTGCGGCATGTTTCTGTAATAGAGATCATGTGAGCAACTATTCAACGTTTATCCGGGGAGAGAAGTACTTTTTCAGTAGAGGGTGTCATGATGGCGGCCGTTGGAAAATAAGGTAGGTTGATCTGTGTGAAAGACTGTGAGTCCGAAGTGTGTCGTTCAAAGTTGAAGCATAAAATGAATGACAATGTGTAGAAGATGGACAGCGGGAGCAGGACGAATATAATAGATGATAGATAATCATAAATAGTAGTAAATTCTATAGCTGGTGTAGTGATGGGGTCACGAGTCTGGAAATTCTGGCAAAATCGGTCGTGATATTTGTTCACCTTTCAGCTCTCTTCCCAGCTTCCTAATCATCACAATCATTAATTCAAAGCTCAATTCCATCATGATGGGGAAAAGGAAGCGTCAAGTTACCGATGATGAAGATAGGCCTCAACAATTCCCATGCGAATTCCCTGGTTGCGGCAAGTCCTATTTGTCTAAAGATCATCTTCGCCGACACACGAGGGAGACACACAACGGGCTGAAGCGCAGCAGACTTGAGCCTCAACAATCCATATGTGGATTCCCTGGATGCGGCAAGTCATATTCGTCTAAAGAGCACCTTCACCGACATGAGAGGGAGAAACACAGCGGGCCTGAGCCCATGCAGTTCCTATGTGAATTCCCTGGATGCTGCAAGCCATATTCTTCCCAAAAGTCTCTTCGCGAACACGAAAAGGAAAAGCACAGCGGGCCTGAGCCCACGCAGTTCCCATGTGAATTCCCTGGATGCAGCAAGATATTTACGGTTAAGAGGTCTCTTTCCCAACACAAAAGGGTGAAGCATAGTGGTTTCGATGCCAACTCGTTCCCATGTGAATTCCCTGGATGCAGCAAGTCATATTCGTATAAGATGGGTCTTGACCAACACAAAAGGGCGAAGCATAGTGGTTTCGATGCCAGCTCGTTCCCATGTGAATTCCCTGGATGCAGCAAGTCATATTCGTATAAGATGGGTCTTGACCAACACAAAAGGGCGAAGCACAGCGGGCTTGAGCCTGAGCCCATGCAGTTCCCATGTGAATTCCCTGGATGCAGCAAGATATTTACGGCTAAGGGGTCCCTTGACCAGCACAAAAGAGTGAAGCATAGTGGTTTCGATAGCGACTCGTTCCCATGTGAATTCCCTGGATGCAGCAAGTCATATTCGTCCAAAGATTCTCTTCACAAACACGAAAGGGATAAGCATGGTGGTTTCGACGCCAACTCGTTCCCATGTGAATTCACTGGATGCAGCAAGTCATATTCGTCTAAAGATACTCTTCGCAAACACAAAACGGAGAAGCATAGTGGTTTCGATGCCAACTCGTTCCCATGTGAATTCCCTGGATGCAGCAAGTCATATTCGTCTAAAGATTCTCTTCGCAAACACAAAGCGGAGAAGCATAGTGGTTTCGATGCCAACTCGTTCCCATGTGAATTCCCTGGGTGTAGCAAGTCATATTCGTCTAAAGGTTCTCTCCATCAACACGAAAGGGAGAAGCATAGTGGTTTCGATGCCAACTCGTTCCCATGTGAATTTCCTGGATGCAGAAACTCATATTCGTCCAAAGGTGCTCTTGACCAACACAAAAGGGTGAAGCATAGTGGTTTCGATGCCAACTTGTTCCCATGTGGATTCCCTGGATGCAGCAACTCATATTTGTCCAAAGATGCTCTTCACAAACACGAAAGGGAAAAGCACAGCGGGCCTGAGCCTCAGCAATTCCCATGTGAATTCCCTGGATGCAGCAAGTCATATTTGTCCAAAGATGCTCTTCACAAACACGAAAGGGAGAAGCACAGCGGGCCTGAGCCTCGGCAATTCCCATGTGAATTCCCTGGATGCGGCAAGATATTTACGGTTAAGAGGTCTCTTCAACAACACAAAAGGGCAAAGCACAATGGATTCGATGCCAACGTATTCCTATATGGCCAAGACCAAGACCTCCCACCGACACAAGCCCTACAACAACACGGTGATTTTATTGGCGAGTGTGATCCTGATGTTTCAGATGAAATCCCCATCGATCCGGTGCTTACTGCAATTGACAAAAACGTGATTACGGCTCCAAGGCTCGACGACGTGTCACCAGTCGAAGGCCCGGCCACGCTGTTTGTCGCACGTGTATCGAACAAATATCTCCACAAGCAGACCACAAAATGGATGGAAAAACAATTGAACTGGTTGGAAAAGCAGTGGAACGATCACCAGGGGCCACGGCTAGGAACAAGCCGGTTCCTTACTATGATTAGATCGTCGAACAGTCCTTTTTCAATCAACTGTTCGGAATCCCAAGCATTACGAGACTTCCTATCGCGACTGACAGTTAGGAAAGTCACGATCGTCTTTACAGGCTGGGATAGCCTCTTTACCACACCTACAGCAAATCGGGCTTTCCTTAGGCTTTTTAATAATGTAGAGCTTGACATGTTCTACATGGAACCTCAGAGCCATGACTTCATCTCTTTATGCCCAGATATCATTCTTGGGCTACGTGCTGCTGGTGATTCTCTACCTGATAATAGGACAACCCAATGGCTAGACAAAGCCTATGGCATCGGTACTGTGAAGTCCCAGCTAGCCGAGGGACACCGGGCTTTACGGGAACTTGCTGGACAGCGAAACTCCTACCGTTATGATTAATAGTTATTGTTATCGTGGGTCTCATTGCTTTGTCGTGAATCTCTATATTACTTTCTCGTGAGTCTCTTTATTGGTAACAGCGATGTTGATTATGACTTAGAAGTTGTGGTTCTATATATTGTATGTATACACAAGTGTTATTCAAATATACATCGTGCTATTTCTGCACCACCGAGATTAGCGCTACCATTCGATTCTGAAATAGTATTGGCGGGTAGGGAAAAGCCTCAAATTCTGACGGAGGTCACTTACAGTAGTGATGAGGGTGAGAAAAAGACATTCGAAGAGATATTCATGGACGATGAACGTCCATGGGTAATTATCTTCATTATTCCTTTCTTCTGATCGTTCCTTCCCTACTTTACCTCAACCGAACTTCACACCCGTGGAGAGTGGCTTCGAAGACGAAGACCTTCTATCGGAACCAGGCCACAGCAACACTATCGTGAACAGCACAGTGATTCTATTGGCCATGTGACAACAAGACCAATCCTAAAATATGAAATACGTAAATTAACTAAGAACACAATGACTGAAACGATCACCAGTGAGTAGGCCGAGCCTGGTACCTGTCCTGTCGATCAACCGAAATGCCGTCCATTTTATACTCAGACTTCCCACTGGGTAATAACCACCCGGGGTGTAGTACGTTGAAAACAGCCACCGAGACAACTACCAAACAGAGTCAGCGATGAAGTCTTCCTAGGTGAATTCGAGAGATACGAACTCATTGTAGCGCCGTCGAGCGCAATGAAATACGGCTCATGAGTTATCAGATAGCCGTCCCAACCCTGCGACAACTCGATCGTACGATAGATACTGCGAATATAGATGCAGACGATGGAAAGTATCATCGCGGCGAACAGGGGGATGACCGAACCTGTTACCGACTGCAGCAGATGGTTGCGCATAGTGCGGCGGATGAAATCGACCGCGCAGAAGACGAAGATGGTAATCGAGAAGAGCTGGAAGACGATGCCAGCAACCATAATATGGGTTCCAGTTGCGGTGTCGCCGCCGATCTTGTTGGCTTCTCCGGAGGCCATGCCGCCGCCGACAGCTTGGACGACGAGCGAGATTATGTCGCAGGTGCAGAAGATCCAGAGGTATAGGTTTGGCTTTAGGAAGGAGGATTCGCGGCCAAGGACTTGGATGAAGCGGCCTAGGAGGATGTAGATTCCTGCTGTGAAGAAAGTTGGGGCTGTGGGATGTTAGGTCTTGCATGGATAGTCAAGGGTAGGAAGGTAGCTTACCGATGATGAGGGTGGAGATTTGCATCAGAAAGGCAGTGGTATTGTATGGACATTTTGCTGACCAGGTACGACCAGCCCAGCCGATTACTTCGACTATTGGTGTTGTTAGTCCTGCGGGAAGTTGGGGTTGCGACTGCCATAGGCCTTACCAAGACATCCGACACTAAACACACTTGCCCACCATTGTCGCTTCCAGGTGAATTGAACTGTGTGCACGATCATCGAGAGACCAAATAGTGCGCAGTAGGCAATGCCTGCTCCTAGCGATGGGACGTATCCATATGAGGTGCCAACGCCTTCGATATAGGCAGGGCAGCCGTATTGCAGTTGTATCCTGTCGTCCATGGCGAAGGAAAATGAATGACTTCAAGAAACCGCTATCAGGGAGATTGACCAAAAAAGGAAAAGCTAACAGAAGTACGTAGTATTCGGATAGATTGAAAGACAGACAGAGATTCCCCAGGCGGCTAGAAAGGAGATTTATAGACAACCACCCGGTTTGTCCAAAATCGAAAAGCCACCAAAAGAGGACCAAGAATCAGGCTTCAATATTCACGCGGACAATTTGAGTCTAAATGAGAGTAAGCATGGCTGAGCAACCACTAGCCCCCACAATTGGGAAAGACATTTCAAGGCTAAAGCCGTGGTCTATTAGTGCACCTCTACCATAATACTCTACCGTGGAGTAAAAGACCCGCATCGGAGCAACCAATCCCGACATTCCCGACATTCAAGCTTGTTGTATGTCCAATTTCCAGCGTCCAGAGCGGGTTGATAAACGGACCGGCTCCGGTTGGTATAGAAAGGCATATCCATCTCGTAAAGACCTACCGCACAATCGGGCAGCGAGCCGCCACGGTGGGGGTATCCCTAGCCTGTTAGATTGAATGGACAATGTACTTTATATACCCTATGGACCAATAGATGGACCATGACATCAAAGCCATGTCGAATGAAAAAAATACGACAAGATCTGATAGAAAATCGGGCCGAACTACAACTTCCCTCGCAAGACTATCCCTTTTAGGTTAGCGTGGATGTCGCCAAGTTTACCTCAGCCCTGAGGGATCCCATTCATCTCCGGTAAAAACCGTTGGCAGACCAAACGCGAGCTTTATAAAAGGTCAAATGAGTCACGACAATCGGCAATCAGCGCTAGGCAGTTTGAGGGATTCCGACTTCCATGTCTCCGGCTTTCAACATGAAAGCCGTGCTCCACTCTGCGATAAGCATAGCTTCAATATGTCTCCGGCTCAACTGGAAAGGAATGCATTAAGATCGTGTTTACGAGTTAGTATACACACCGTCTCAAGATAATGAGAGACAATCTCATTCAAAAAGATAAAGTCTACAACATAGCCCTGGCCTTGGCCCTAGTTTTGTCGGGATATCGGATGGACAATCCAGGGTCCGCGGTCTCGGATGGCAGCGGATGTACGTCTGTGACCGAGAAGAAAAATTTACGAACGAAAAAGCAGGAGGATCCACACGCTCCTGCTTATTCGTAGCTGATTTGAACCTCCAGCTATCTTCTTGTACCAGCTTAACATGTGAAGCAATAGACTGCTGGCAACGTCCATGGCTAAAAGTTTGATAACAATAGGACAGTCAAAGGAACTCATACTCCGTACGCTCTCAGGCCAAGCTACGAAAGGCAATGGGATCACCGATCCTCACTCTAGCAGATCGGAAAAATAGTGGAGTTCTAACAGCCGAATCCCTCATTAACCTCAGCCACGAAAAGTAGTCCATTGACACTCAATACCGCCAAATAACAATTCCAGAGACAGATCCTCAAAGGTCCAGTCAAATATCCAACAGAGTAAGGTACATTTCCGCTGCTCTGACCAAACGAGATTAAGCCTCGCCTTGGCGGGCCAGATATCAACGCTGCGGAGGTATTCCGGTGGAGAAATGCGCCGTGCTGAGTGAGGCCACCCGTCGCACATAGCAAGACAACTATCTTTTTCTCTTTTACACGTACCCACACACACACGTCACCTATCTGATCAGATACCGCCCAAAAATAGTTGGTAGCAGTGCCGGGGGCCATGCGATCGCAGGGTCGCAGGCAGTATCTTAGAAGGTGGGGGCCATGTGCTCTGTATGGATATGCGGGAGCAACAGTCCTTATGGGGTATTTGAGAGGCGATGCCGCTGAATCCGTTGTCTTGGCCAAGCCCAAGAGATTACACTGCTGTCTGCGTCGATATATACGCATCCTCCATATAGCATCCCGTCCTCACTTCAGCCTCTCGACATCCACGCAGAGATAGGCTGGAAATTCAGTCCTGCGATCTGGAGCCAGACAAGACATTCAAAAAGACATTCAAAAAGACACTCAAAAAGACACTCAAAAAGACACTCAAAAAGACATTCAAAAAGACATTCATGAACGATGAAGTTCCACGGGTAATTATCTTCATTATTCCTTCCTTCTCATCGTTCCTTCCCAACCTTACCTCAACTGAACTTCACACAGTGGCTTCGATGACCAAGACCTTCTATCGGAACCAGGCACATAGCAACACTATCGCGAACAGCATAGTGATTCCATTGGCGAGTGTGGCCCTAGTGTTTCAGGTGAAATCCCTATCCATCCGGCGCTTACGGCAATCGACAAAAACGTGAGTACGGCTGCAAGGCGTGTCACCAGTCGAAGGCCCGGTCACGCTATTGTTGCACGTGTATCGAGTAAATATCCCTACAAGCCGACCACAAAATGGATGGAAGAACCATCGAACTGGTTAGAAAAACAATGGAATGATCAGGGGCCACGACCAGGAACTAGCCGACTTTTTACAATGATTAGATCGTCAGTCCTTTTCCAGTCAACTGTTCGGAATCCCGAGGATTACAAGACTTCCTATCGCGACTAACAGTTAGGAAAGTCACAATCGTGTTCACGGGCTGGGATGGCTTCTTCACCACCCCCACGGCAAATCGGACTTGGGCTTTTCAATAATGGAGAGCTTGACATGTTCTATATGGAACCGAAGAGCCGCAACTTCATTTCTTTAGGCCCAGATATAATTCTTGGGCTACGTGCTGCTGGTGATTCTCTGTCTGATAACAGGACAACCCAATGGCTGGACAAAGCCTATAGCATCGGTGCCGTGAAGTCCCAGCTGGCCGAGGGACACCGGGCTTTACGAGATGTTGCTGGACAGCAACTCCTACCACCATGATTAACAGTCATTGTTATCGTGAGTCTCCTCATTGCTTTGTCGTGAATCTCCATATTACTTTCTCGTGAGTCTCTTCATTGGTAACATCGATGGTGATTATGACTTAGAAGTCGTGGTTCTATATATTGTATATATACACATTTTATTACCATACGTTAGCTATAGTGGCTAGTTGTGGAGATGTGACAACTAGGCACATTACCCCTCACTGATATAGCCGCTAGTTAGCTCTTATGAATGGCATTATAGCCCATGCGGTGGCCTATTTACATTGTGGCCACCCATATTAACTGTTTGTGTTCTAGAGCCCATGGTGTAGTATTTTAAGGTCTCCCTATAGCGGGCTGCCTATATGAGATGCTTACCTTCGAACTAATGCTCTATATGATCGCTGAATCTTCAAACGAGCAGTCCATAATCGACAGGTTTGTTGTGTCTCCAAATCTATCTTCTGAAATTACATTCCGCTCTTCTTTCAACTACACTTTGCCCAACCTCCCATACAATTTTGTACTACAATCTGGTCATACCATCGCTCAGATCTGAGTCTAGCAAGTTCTTGTAAAACCTGGCTTCACTTAGCTAGCTAGGACTTTAGGGCACCGATGCTATAGGCTCTGTCGAGCTATTAGGTTATCCTATTATCAGATAGAGAATCACTAGCACGTATCCTAAGAATTATATCCGGGTATAAAGAAATGAAGTTGTGGCTATTCAGTTCCATATAGAATATGTCAAGCTCTATGTTGTTGAAAAGCCTAAGGAAAGTCTTGACATTCACAACCATCCGCTTCCTAGATGCCCTCTAATCACTTACCGCCAACAAAGGCAACCGGATTGACATAACACGGGGCAGCTTCGAGCCTTGACGCCGTGTTTCATTTCCGGACTTCTGGAGGTATCCGCTTGTGGTGGTAGTATGGCGACAGACTACGACGAGGCTATATAATCTCGCCGCCTATCAATCCTCTAGAATCTGCAGTTTCTCGTCTCGGCCCCTCAATTGCTTCGGAATGGAGTAGTCGCCCTGGACATCCGTTGATTCACGTGAATACTGTTAGCCCTGAGTGTGTCAGGACTAGAATGATTAACCCGGCGTACGAGGGGCAAAGGGCTGATTTGAATACGATGAATCGGCTGCTATATGTTGTGGGTACCGCGCCCCTGTGGTCTTTTTTTTGGCTGATGGGAGTGGGGTTATGATTGGAGAGGATCCCAAGGTCGATGGGGGACAGATGGCTTGCTGGCCTTAGGCAAGGCTGTCTATCTTGCATATTAAGCTCTCTCCAAATACGAGGTTATAGGGAAGCATGTTCGATCAAAATGATTTGTAGCGGAGGAATTTGATGGACTGTGGATGAATAAAAGAGAAAGAGAAAGAGAAAAGAGGAAACGGCAGGCTTTTATTTCCTGGTAACACTACATGAATGATTGATCTAGAATTACTGCAATTGCTTCAAGTGGAACTACTGGGCAATATTCCAGAATGACTCAGCCGGTTTGTGGAAGCTCTGGAATTGTGGCATATCATAAATGCCCTCAGGATCTAAGAGTGAAAGTCAGTATTGCATTGCAAATTCCAAGTAGGAGAGGGTCCTCACCATCCCGGTTTTCCATAATGTACTTCCTTGTGTTGATCATACTAGCCTCAAGCTGAGCATTCAGCTCCTGCTGATACACCCTGACCTTCTCATTTATCTTGGCGGCACCACGAATAGCCTGCTGGGCGACATGGAAACGCGAGACATGGTTGACAAGCATCATATCGAAAGGTGTGGTGGTGCTACCCTCTTCAATATAGCCCGCAACGCTGACGCGATCAAGACGCGGACGTCCAAAGAGCAAGCCCTGCAGCTCAGTTGGGTAGCCGTGGTAATTGAAGTGAATGGGCTTATCGGAAGTGAAGAGAGCATCGAATGCCTCATTGGACAGGGCATGCGGATGAGCACCCTCATTATCAAGAATCATCAGGTCCGTCACGTTAATGACACAAAGACGAAGCTCTGGTATGAGCTTACGCAGAAGTGCCGCTGCCGCAATTACTTCGAACATCACCTCAACACCGATACCGACCAGCACGACATCTGGGTCAACTCCATCGTCCGTGCTGCAGAACTTCCAAATCGATGCGCCTGCTCGGCAGTGGCTCTCGGCCTC